AGCATGGATTAAGGACTGATTTAAAGCACCTTTTAGGCGAAGAACAATGAACACTCTGAGATTTACATGGAAAAAGTGCACTTTTTATGGATGTTTGTTAATTTGCATAGTTGCTATTAAATAAACACATTCTCAGAAAATAAATAGTTTTTATGAATCAAAAAAATATAAAGCTGCATAATAGCTTTTCCATTATTAAACTGATAAATTCTTGTTTTTTTTAGGTTTGTAACACATAATTGGACAAAACAAAAGCCTTTAGGAGCGACAAATTAACGTACAAAAAGTAAACCTGTGCATGAAATTATGTTTTTTTTTATAAACTGTTTTTATAATGTTTTTTATTGTTGGATATCATATAAATATACTGGTGTGATAAGTTAGTGTCATTGGTTTTTGGTATACGTCTATTCAGAATTTATAGCCCCCCTGGAGAAAACTCCACTAGCCACCACTGCATTAGCTCTGTCGTCAAACTAGCTACAGCTGGTTGCAATCTTAAAATCTTGCTCAAACACCAATTGTAAATAAACTTGTTCCTAATAAATATATGAATTTAAAATAGAACTCATATAGAATTACCAGTCTTACTGTTTGCAGGTTAGATTATGGGGTTAGAGTTGGACTCCTGAGGCAGAACGTTTTGGCTCCAGTTAAGAGCCAGCTTGGGTTTCTGAAAGCAGACTCCCCACTTCACCCTCCGGGAATGTGGGCCAACTTAATCAATAATTCAAACCACCTCACCACTCACCTCAGCTGGATGGCATGATTGTGAGTGGTTGAGCTTCGCAGAAAATTGGCTTTTGTTTGGGAATAATGTTAGACGCGGAAAAACAGGAAGACAGGGAGGAACTTGAATCAAACAGTTATCAGCGTGCAGGAATATATAAATATTATGTTGAAAGGTACCAGAACAGTTTGATTTAAACAAACCTACTGATACATTTTAACTTAGCTAATCAGTTTACAGTCTTTGTAACCAGTTGGTTCTTGCCTGAAGCTACTGTTGCCATCCAAGAACAATATGAGTAAGAAGAGATTCCTATACAGTGCACAGGGTTGTAGTAATCTAAGCCTGCAGGCAAGAATCTGCAGTCTGGCTTTGGTTGACATAATCTAGTATGCTGACAAGGACTGTTAGTCTATCCTAATCTACTTCTAAATCCATGAGTCATAGATTTGATCAAAGAAATTCAACCGTACTTTTGAAAAGTAATTACTAAATGAGTCATGTGATGTCATATCTAAACACAGATCAAATAACACAAACTACATTGTAACCACAGCTTCTCTTGGCCTCACTGACAGAAGCAAGGCTGTTGTACATAGGCATACGTAGTAGGCAATGTGGGTATAGTGTCTAGCCTAAAAACACAACAACACATAGCTGGGGATGGAACCGACAACCCTGCGGTTGTAGGGCAAACCCCTGCATCTGAAGCTGCTGATGCCTTATCTGTGAAAAACAGATGTGTCACAAAAAGCATTGATCTAAACTAATAGGATCAGAAACAGTCACCATAATTATATATTCTTTATTC